TTCAGAAATCGTGGGCGCTCCATCACTGGAGATTTTTAAGAAGAGACCGGACAGTCACTTGTCTGAAATGGTATAGGTTCTCCTGCTTGAGCAGGGGGCTGGACTAGAACACCTCCAAGGTCCTTTCCAGCTCTATTCTATTCTATTCACTTAGGCTTTCATACATAAGGCAGGACTAGAACCCACAGTCTCCTGGTTTGTAGGTCAGCATCTTAACCATTATACCAAACAGGGTGTCTAATTTGGGTGCTATTCCAGAAAACTCTTTAGAAAAATAGACAATCTTATCCCAATGTCATTACCTTTGTGGTTGTTGTATTTGAGAAAATCTGAGACCTGAACAGTGGTATCACTTGGAGGCATTTCTTTAGAGATGGGATCCTGGGTTAGACTTGTCAGTTGAAGACTGTTATTTGTTTCGCCATTAATCTAAGAACAACCGAGATGAATCAAGCTTTTTTAAACTGAAGAACTCCTTGTCATATAGGATTAAATGCTTAAACTATGAGAAGGATTCAGAAGACCCATTAGCTTGCTTTAAAAAAAAATCTCAATTAAATCCTAAAAACTACCAGAGTTGGGAAGAGTCTTCTTTGAAATCTTGTAAATGCAGAGCCTCTTTAAAGCAGCTGCGTCTCTTTTCAGAGTCCCATGTGAGACTGAAATAAGACATAGCTACTTGCATGAACTGAGCATTAAATGGGTGCCTTAAATCCTGAAAATCCTGAGTTGGTGTTTCCAATTTAGGGGTGTTTTAAGAAGCAAAGCATCTTTCCGAGGTCAGTAAAATGAGGACCCAGAGTGTTAGGGACAATATGCTCACTCTGTAAACCGCTTAGAGCAGTGGTTCTCAATCTTTTTAATGCCGTGACCCCAACCGGTCGTAAGTCGAGGACTAAACTGGTCGTAAGTCGAGGACTAAACCGGTCGTAAGTCGAGGACTAAACCGGTCGTAAGTCGTGGACTACCCAACCGGTCGTAAGTCGAGGACTTTCCCTGCCCGGGAGCGCCACGCATGCGTGGTTCCGCCCCCTGCGCTGGCCGAGGCGTAGCTGGCAAGCGGCAGAGACGGAGCAGGCCGACCACCAGCTGGCCCAGTCCAAGGGAGGTAAGGCACCCGCTGGAAAAGGGGAAAAAAATGGCGGACAGCCATGCTTGGCGACCCCCATGAAATGGTCGATCGACCCCAAATGGGGTCCCGACCCACAGGTTGAGAACCACTGGCTTAGAGAGAGCTGTAAAGCACTGTGAAGCGGTATATAACTCTAAGTGCTATTGCTATTTATCTGTCCATTTTCCTATATTTACTAACATTCTACCAAGGTGTACATTTATCTTTCATTACTTATTTGGCAACTATCTTTTTACTCTCTATATGTTATGTTATAATATGTTATGTTATGTTATGTTATGTTATGTTATGTTATGTTATGTTATGTTATGTTATGTTATGCTATGCTACACATTATATAACATCTTCCATCCTCATTTTGCAACATTCTTTTATATAAGATTTTTCACATCCAATCATTCTTTTCAGACCTTCCATTGTATAATTTACACATACACCTGTGGCATTTTGCAACATAACTCTTTGCATTGTGTTCCAAGAAGCTTCCACACCCTTTTATGTCTGTTTTCCATTTATTTATTCCATTCGTTATCTTCTTTTGTATACAGGAGTCATACTTTCTCTTCCTATGGTTTTTCCCCCCTTCACATTTTTTCTCTATTTCTTTGTAGATTTATGTCTATTTTTTTCTAAGATCTACTCCTGTAATTTCCAAAAACTGATTTATCCCTACACCAAGCCTCTTATCCTGTTGTATCCACCACTAATTCCCTCGATCTTTCATTATAAACACCCAGAGCACTGCCATTTGTATGAACTAATAAATAAACCTATGATTAAACCATGTATCCTAAAACGATAATTTTTTTTTAAGCAGATGCTATCCGTGATCATTCTCATTCGTAGCTCAATTACTTTTTTGTACTTTGTTGTCTTGTTCTCACTTACCCATTCATATCATATAACAATATATATTTATTTATTTATTTTATTTTATTTATTTTTATTTTTATTTTCATTAACTTATATGCCGCCCTTCTCCCCACGGGACTCAGGGCGGCTCACAGCATATTAAAACAACACAAAACATTTCCCCTATAAAAGCCAATTAAAAACCAAATATTTATAGCTGTGTCATTATTAAAATCATTAAAAATTGTCCCTATTTAAAATTCACCCTAGGTCAGTCCCGCTTGCTGAAAAAGCC